AACGATCTAGATATGACGTTCCTAATAGATACTGGGGCGGAGATGTCTCTATTAAATTCACTAACTTTAAGACGGATACCAAGCGCCTATGTCCGAAAAGCTATCTTGGAAGAGGAAAAAATGGGCATCCGGGGAATTAATGGAATAGTGACTGAATGTGAAAGAGTGTTGCAGGTCACAATAAATTATAGCAATCATGCACATTCCGCTACCATTGCATGTATGTCCTTCCCTGAACACGTTGAGTATGAGGGTATCTTGGGGATGGATGTAATTAATAGTATCCCCGAGATATTGGACGAGATAAGGAAATCAGTGAGTGGTAATATGCACAATCCTGATAGGAATCAAGTCTTACCCGTCAATTGTCTCGCTGATGTACCTGTCGAGATCCAAGGACTTGATAATTTAGATTCTGTCGAAAGGGAGAAGGTCTATGGCATGGATGCACAGACCGCGGCCCGCCGGTCGAATACTGGTGGCCCGCCGACAGCAAAAAATAATACTCTCGTACATTCGAAGAATATTTAATTCTATTCCAGAATAAAACCAAAAAAATCTAAAAACTTTATATAAAGTTCAAAATAGTAGAGAAATCAAGAATTTTCTAGCGCGGTGTGAGCAAGCGAGATAGCAATAGTCCCGAATTCCCGATTGCTCGCGTAGGTACGAGTAGATACACGAAGCGTAGGAGAATAAGTGCAGTTTAATAGTGTTTTGGGGAGGCAATAGTTCTAGTGTAGATTTTAACTCGACTAGCCGGTGTCATATATTTTGATCCACATTCAACGTAGATTTCCTGTTAACCCGTCAAGTGCCGTGTATAATTGTGTTGTGAAATCGTAAGTAAAACTCTGTTATTAATAAGTGTTTCCCTACCTATTTAATCAATTTTAATCAAATTTAGCTTTAATGTTGGCCAAATATTAAAATAAAACAAAGAAATTACTATTTTTATCAGAATTTCTCTAACTGTAATAATTACGTCATTATTTCAGATATAAAATCTGTATAAAAATCTTAAAATTTCTGAGGAATTTAATCAATTATTTTTGATAATTTAAAAAAGAATGGGTAATTTAAGTAGGTACTGTAATTGTTTTTAGGTGCTGTGTTAATCCTAGCCAGGATTAGAACGCAACATGGAGAAGCCAGGACCTAGTAAAAAACGTAAGGTTAAAGATGAAAATCGGCAGTTTCAAGAAATTTGGACTGAGAAATACTTTTTTGTATGGTCGCATAACAAAGTCGTTTGTTTAATTTGCAAGAATTCTGTTGCGATTGCAAAGGAATATAATGTAAAAAGGCATTATGAAACGCAGCATCCTTCTTTTACCAAGTTTACAGGCGAATTAAGAAAGCAAAAAATGTTGTCTTTAAAACGGGAGATTATTGGTCAGCAAGCTATGTTTACAAAACCCATTCAAGATTCAGAAACAGCTACAGAAGTTAGTTATGAAATTTCTCGAATGATAGCAAAGCGAAGTCGCCCCTTCAATGATGGCGATTTTGTAAAAGAATGCATAGAAATTGCCGCTAAGAAAATGTGTCCAGAAGCAGCAAAAAAGTTTGAGAAAATTCAACTGAATCGTATGACTATCCAAAGACGAATTATGTCTTTGTCAGGTAATATTGCGGAACAATTAATTGAAAAAACTAAGATCATTGAATTTTTTTCATTAGCACTCGACGAATCCACTGATATTAGTTCCACAGCTCAACTTCTCATATTCATACGAGGTGTTACTCAAGATTTTGAAGTCTTAGAAGAGTTATTCGGAATGTGTTCATTGAAAGGTCAAACCAAAGGAGTTGATATACTCAATGTACTTTTGGATGAGTGTTCAAAAACTGATTTGGACTTATCAAAATTATCGGGAGTTGCGACTGACGGTGCTCCTTCGATGATTGGTGTCAATTCCGGGCTAGTTACTTTGCTGAAAAAGCATCTGCAAGGAAAAAACATAAACGCTGAAGATCTCATGCAGTTTCACTGCATTATACACCAAGAAACCCTCTGTTCTAAAAAAATTGAATTTCAAAATGTCATGAAAGTGGTAGTTTCGACTGTAAATTTCATAAAATCACGAGGACTCAATCACAGACAATTCAAACAATTCCTTGATGACATCGAAAGCGAATACGGAGATTTACTGTATTATACAGAAGTAAGGTGGCTAAGCCGTGGATTGACACTGGAACGATTTCTAAATTTAATAGAAGAAATTGGAATATTTCTGGCGGAAAAGCAAAGGGATGTCCCGGAACTTAAAAATCCTGATTGGTTGTGTGATTTGGCTTTTTTAGTTGACATTACAAATCATTTGAATGTCTTGAACACACGGCTTCAAGGCAAAAATCAACTGATATCCCAGCTCTACGCTCATGTATCATCCTTTCAATGCAAGCTGACACTTTTCAGATCACAATTGAATTCTGGAAATTACAATCATTTTCCGAATTATAAGAAAATGGCTGAAAAATTCAACAAAACTGCGATTAATTTCAGTTATGTAGAAAAGCTAGATATTTTGATTCAATCTTTTCAAGACAGATTTTCGGATTTTAAAAAAGTGAAACCTCTGTTGGACATATTCAGCAATCCTTTCACGATTTCAGTTGAAAATGCGCCAGAGTCAATGCAGTTAGAAATTATCGACATTCAAAACGATCAAGATTTACGCAACAAATTCAACGAAGGAGACTTGCTGAACTTTTACCGCTGCATTGATAAAAATATGTACGAAAAGTTGCGCATAAACGCTCTGAAATGTGCCAGCTTATTTGGTTCTACCTATATATGTGAACAAACTTTTTCAATACTAAATAATAATAAAACAAAAAATCGAAACCGCCTTGCAAATGAAAGTTTGGAAGCAGTTTTACGTGTTGCTACAAGTAAATTTGAGCCAAATATAAAAAAGATTGTAAGCACTATGCAGTGCCACGCTTCAAATTAATAAATTCTTTTTGAATTTTAATAAATTATTATCAATTCTTTATTGTCTTTAATTACCTATACTTCTGGCGGCCGGCCCGCCATCAGTTCATGATTTGCCCGAGTGGCCCCTAGTCTTCATAAGTCTGTGCAACCATGGTCTATGGTATCTTTAGAAAGTACCCACGGTGTTTCGCTAATACAATCGAAGAGCTGAAAGGAATGATAGGGCCATCCCATAAACCCGTAATTACTTCTACCCGTCCGATAAATACCCGCCAATATCGAATCCCCGAATGTTACTTAAAAAGGTTGAAGGCCTTAATTGAATCATACCTAAAAGCTGGCATTATCGAGGAGAGTTCATCTGAATGGAACTCTCCCATTCACATAGTGGAAAAGACCGCTGACGAAATACGAATGACCTTAGACCTCAGGCGCATTAATGAAGTAACCGCATCACAAGAGTTCCCCCTGGCCCGCGTAGATGAAATTATGAGTGGGTTCCAAGGCAGTAAATACTTTTCCGTTTTGGATCTAAAATCTGGTTATTTTCAGATAGACCTAGACCCATCTGTACGTCATGTATACGCCTTCTCGACTCCTTGGGGAAAATATCAGATGTGCCGCCTACCCCAAGGAGCGAAGAACAGTGGCCGTTTCTTTCAGGGTGTAATGTCTAACCTCCTGGCACCATTCATTGGAATCAACTGCTATGTATTCCAAGATGACATAGTCCTCTTCTCTAGGTCCTTTGAGGAACATATAACGCTACTCGATAGGGTCATCAAAATTCTCTACGGAGCCAATCTTAAATTACACCCAAAGAAAAGCAAGTTGGTGGTCAAAGAAGTGCGATACCTGGGACATATCATCAGCCGTGAGGGAGTACTCCCAGACCCAGATAATGTGCGCGCGATTCGTGAAATCAAACCCCCTAGTAATATCAAAGGCGTGCGCAGTTTCTTAGGAATGGTTGGCTTCTTTAGGAATTTTATTCCTAATTTATCGGACATTGCATTACCGTTGACGAATTTGACAAAGAAGAAAAGTAAATTCAATTGGGATAATAATTGCCAGATAAGTTTTGAAAGATTTAAAATGTTGTTAACAAAACCCCCCCTATTAAAACACCCCGATTTTTCGTCCCCGTTCCATTTATTCACTGACGCTTCGAACGATTGTGCAGGTTCCGTTCTAGGACAGATAGAAAATGACTCATTTTTTCCTGTAGGCTATTTTAGTAAAAAAATTTAGTGGCTCGGAAATAAACTATTCTACAATTGAGAAGGAATGCTTAGCAATCATATTATCTTTCTGCCATTTCAAACCTATCATTTTGGGACACAAGGTAGAGGTCCACTCTGACCATAGGCCTCTTGTATTCATAGGGGACATGAAAAATCATAATAAAGGCTTAATGAGGTGGTCTATGGAATTAGCGGATTATGATTTTAACATTAATCATATCGAAGGAAAGATGAACTTGATTGCTGACGCGTTATCTCGCCCCGAGCCATCTGGGTCCGAAAAAAATTTGCGGGAATGTAACGTTAATTCCATTCGTTCCAATCTGTGGGAAAGGATAGTTAAGTCACAGGATGAAGATGAATTCCTTCTTAAAATAAAGATAAACCGCATTCCCCAGAAGCCTGGCCCACCAACTGCGAACGATGGCATCCAACCCGAATTCGTACTAGAGGGTGGCGTCTTAATACACATAAAACCGGGCCGCTTTGGACTCCGCCAGTGGAGGCGAGTTTGCGTAGGAAAAGGAATGATAGATGAGGTAATCAGGGCATTCCATTGTTCCCCCTTATCAGGCCATCTTGGTTTCGAGAAGACTTATTATTTAATTGACCGTTACTACTATATTAGGAACCTTAGGGCACACGTCAAGCGGATCGTTCGTTGTTGCCAGACTTGTCAAAAGCATAACCTCCATCAGGGTTGTGCTCCATTCCAGGAGATGGAGGTGGCCTAGTTTCCCTTCCAGAAAATCGCAATTGACATTATAGGCCCTCTCCAAATATCTCCGGAAGGAAACCGTTACATTTTCACAATGATTGACATCTACACCCGTTTTGCCGAAGCAGTCCCTATTAAGGATCAATCAGCTCAAGTTGTAGCTGATGCTATATTTAATAATATAGTATGCAGATATGGTTGTCCTGATATGGTCATTTCCGACCGGGGTAGTAATTTCACATCTAAATTATTTCAAGACGCTTGCAGTAGTCTGCAAATAAAGCATAACATCACAACTGCGTATCGACCATGTTCTAATTCCATCTGTGAGCGTTTTAATAAAACACTCTGCGGTACTATAGCTCGCATTTCAGAGGGAAATAATAGGAATTGGGACTCTTTTATATCACCAGCACTATTTGCATATAACAACGCTACCCATGCATCAACTAACGAATCCCCAGCCTTTTTATTATACGGCTTCGACCCTCGCTTCCCTATCGCGTTCCCAGCAGAACCGCAGAATATCAGCTTGGAAAAACCCCACGGAATGGAATTGAGAGATAGATTAAGGGCAGTTCGGGAAGCTGCTTACAAACTGGGGAGGCAATGGAATTTTAATAATCGAAAACGTATCAACCGTAATAGGGAAATGAACAATTGGAGGGAGGGGCAACGGGTGTGGTTACTTCATAAGGGTAAAATTAAGAACTCTGGAAAGTTCTCGGCAAAGTATCTAGGACCCTATCGGATCACACGTAAACTAGGCCCCGTCACTGTGGAAATTGGTGATAATCGTAAGAATAACAAATTTATTGTACATGTAGATCGATTAAAACAATGTTATTTTCCGATGTATAAAGACGCGAAAAAAAGAGAGCGTAACAGACACCTCATGAAACCAGAAGAAGAGGAACCGATTAACGATTCGAACGATGAAGATATTTGTGGATATATAAGGCACTGGACTCGTGGAACAAACTACCGGACAAATCACCCTCCATCTGAGCCCCAAGATCAACAGAACGAACTTGAAAGACTCGAAGAGGATAGGTATCCTGAAATGAGGCCCAGCCAGTCACCACAACGGCGGTACGACCTACGAGGTCGCAGAGTAGATTACCGTAAGTTACATTACGGTAATTAACCTTTTGTGGGGGGCGTATGTGGCTGTATGCCTTATTTTATGTATATATTTTTATTTGTATTTTCTTCGTTTCCTTTCTTTTTCTTTCTTCCTTTGTCTATAACTTTCTAGAAAATTCTTCCCTAATCCTTTCCTGATAAGATGGTGGTGACCTACTTTCAAGAACAAAGAAGAGGCGGTAGCCTGAGGGCAAAAAGGGGAACTTCAAACTCACTTTCTGGCTCGGACGTTGTAAAACTAAGACGTGCAAAGAAGACCTCCCGGTTGTTTCGGCAGCAACGGTAGGACAAAGGGAGACTAGAAGTTAGCGATCGGAAGGAGTCAGAACACATACATCGGTATAAGAATCTCCAAAAGATTGTTTAGAAAGCCTGAGTCATTTTTTCGACTTACTGTCTGCAAGATTTCACCATTAGGCCACCACCACCAGCAGTCCAAGATCATCGGCACTGGGTACCCTATCTATCCTATTGTCTATCTTTTCCTCCTCCCTTTCTTTTTTAGTATAAATAGTTTTTAAGCATTAGTCATAGTTTCATTTTTTATTTTGTACCGCGGTAAAATATTTTGTTACGAGAGAAAAACTTAACCTTCGAAAATTGTAAAAAAAATCTTTAATATAAGGAGCGTCAGAATCTAAAAAAATAAAACAAGAATCCTGTAAACTCGAGGAAAATAAACACTGGTGAAAAGGGAATTTTATGCGTATTGTTTTCTCAACTTCTACCACGAAGTGTAATCACCACGTGCATATCTTACAATGGACCCCAAAAAAATGTCAGGGTGGACAAACACCCCACTGCATTGATGCCGAAAAAAAATTCAGTGCACTAACGCAGGGTTAAGAACAAATAATTTTGTGCAATAATAATCATAATTAACTATTAACACAATAAATTATTAACACTAATCAACTGATTAATCAGTATTGGCCGATAACGCGTGACTGATTAATCAGTTATCGGACATTTTGCTTATCAATGCATTCTTAATTTTTACCATTGATTACCTCTAACAGCAATTGCTAATTGAACTCTAATTTGTGTTAATTTCAATAAAATTCGTGAAATTTTACTCTAAAAGTAATAGAATATGTGTATAATTTTAAAAAGTCTTCATTAAACTGATATTTTTATACTCTAAAAGGTATTAGATGTAATTTAAGCTCATAAACCATCGAAAGCTTTTTAATTTCATCCCTGTAAAAGTTTTGTGACATAGAATATAACCTCTTAATGATGGACATCGACTGGGAATGACAAGTTTGTCATTATTTCAAGGTGTTTAATGTTTCTCAACATTGCAAATCAATACATACTAGAAAATAAGAATAAATGTCTTTTATTTATGTCGAAACTATTAAAATGCTCGTTAGTCCTTTATGAATGGTTTTATTCTGTATGCACTTGACAGTAGTTCTGGGTTAGGCACAATTTTTTCTGCGACAAATTTTAGTAAGCTATTATGTAATTCTCCTATTCAAATGTCATCTTACCGCTATTCTGATAGGAAGAAGGTACTGTTGCTGAAGGATGTTAAAGTTAATATGACCAAAATTAGTCGTTGCCCTCCTCCCAAAAGAGCAGATGCTCGACAACTAATTAATATCTGTCTGCTATTAATATTTAAAAAGTGATCCGTGTTAGACAGGTTCAAAAAGTAAAGCTCAGCAAAAACATTAAAGTAAACAAAACTTTTTGAAAGTTGTGGCATAAAAATGATGGAAGCAAATTTAACATTTTTATATACAGTATATATACACATAATACTGTATGGTGTGCCCGGCCATATATATTTTGGGAATGACATCCCGTACCATTGTAAAACAATTAGAGGTAAGCATGCAGATTATTGGCTCATAAAATTAAAAATAAACTTATTTTAAACTGTTGTTGGCTATTTTCTGTCACTGTTGACATTGCATTCCATGTTTTCCAGACTCTTCTTACAAGTTGCTGGTTCATTAAAGTAGTGTACTTGCCATCTAAAAATCAAATGGAAATTAATATATTTATAGAAAGTTCTTCGAAATTCATACATTATTACAATATATTGAGAGAATAATTTAAGTTGTTTGTTTGTTTAGTTATGGCAACACAACACTTGGGCGATATGTCTAGGCGGAAATGCCTTCCGGGATATCTTTTTAAGGGAAACTGGTCCCTATTTAGGCGTTACAGACATGGAGAAAACCCAGAAAACTCCACGTGGCCAGCCTGTCTGAGCAAGGTGCGAACCCACAAGGCCACGACCGAACTCCCAGTGTTCAGGGAACAAAGACTGCTTGGCCACTGGGAGCTGAATAATTTAAGGATTTTCTTATTGATGTCGAAATAACCAAGAGAAATTCGTAGTGAGATCTTTTCGCAAAGTCCAAAATCTACAGAAATGAAAATTGGTGGTTAATATAAAGCTAAACGGTGAGCACAAAGAATAATACCTGTGCCCGACACGTACTCTAATCTTATGGGTAATTGTTAAAGAAAAATATTTAATTTTTGTTATGCCGGGTTCCACCACCAGGGTGCATTATGTAGTTTGCACACTGGCAACACTGCCACGTGTTCCTCATTCTTGTTCCTGCTTTCACGTTGTATAGTCTGTAAAATAAAACCTCTCTTTGTCTTCAAGTTTGGAGTGTCCTTTATCAGGTTATGGGCCCAGGCCACGTCAGGATAAGTCAATTTTTAATCGAAGACTTAAACATCTGAACTTCATTGATCAAGTCGTCTTACTGAAAATGGAATCTGTAAGTAATACCTTTACTATTGCTAAACTGAAGGGTGCTGAAAACTGGAACTTGTAAAAGTTTAGAGTAGAAGTTCATATGCGGTCCAAAGGATGGATAGACGTGTTGCGTGAAACACCGACAGACAAAGAAAGATTGAGACTAGACGAAAAAGTGCAAGATGTTATCGTATCTCTTGTAGAAGACAGAGTTTTGTCCCATCTAATAAGTTGTAAAACAGCATCTGAAATGTGGAAGAAATTGACTAGTCTATTTGAACCCAAATCATCTATCGGAAAGTATCTTTTACAAAAGGAATTCTTTGACTACGAATTTCAAGCCAAAGGACTAGGAATGCATATCTCTGATTTAGAGAACATTGTAGCAAAATTGAAGGCGCAAGATGATGAGATCTCTGAAACCATGCTTATGACTAAAATAATTTCTTCCCTGCCACCTGAATATGCACACTTTGTAACTGCCTGGGAATCTGTCGTTGAAAAAGAACATGCTTTGCACAATCTAACATCCAGACTGCTTCTTGAAGAGAGTAGACTTACAGAGAATAACTCCAACAAAGAAAAACTGGACAATGTTGCACTTCCATCTCATAGAACTTACAATCCCAAAGCCAGGTCAAGCAATAAGAGATTTCCATGCCACTTTTGTGATAAAATTGGTCATTTCATAGCTCAGTGTCCAGCTAGGCTACAAAAAGAAAAGGAAAAGAGGAAGGAAAGCAGCATTCATCGGTTTGAATATGGCGGAGGTAGCACCAAGTGAAAACTCTTGGATTGCAGACAGTGGAGCCAGCGATCACATGTGCACAAAGAAAGAATGGTTTGTTAATTATTCAGAATTTGATAAACCAAAGTTGATAAAGATTGGCGACAGATCATATCTTAAAGCTTATGGATCAGGCAAAGTTGAACTTTTAGCCAACAATGGCAAATCAAACATTTTATCAAGTCTCAATAACGTCCTGTACGTTCCAAATCTGAAGTTTAATCTATTCTCAATCAGCTCAGCATCAGATAGAGGCTTCAGTATGATTTACAACAGAAGAGGTTGTAGACTTGTTCAAGACAATAAAGTATTTGCTATCAGAACAAAGAAAGAAAAGCTATACTATATGCAATTTAAAAAATAGCTGAAAAACACAGCTTTCGTTGGAACACACAGGAAGAAGGAAAACATAAGAAAATTCCATGAACGATTAGCTCATCAAAACATTAAACAAGTTCGAGAAATTTTAAAAAAATGTGGAATAGAGTATGAAGATGACCCTAACTTCTATTGTGAATCCTGTATGAAAGGAAAACAATATTGAATTCCCTTCAAGTTAAGTACTTCAAGAGCAAAAGCACCAGGTGAATTACTACACATCGATCTATGTGGACCTATGAAGACAGAATCTGTAGGAGCTCGCTATTTCCTGCTTGTAAAAGATGATCTAAGTCGCTTCAGAACTGTATACTTCTTAAAAGGAAAGAATGAAGCCAAAGACAAAATCCGAAAATGCATCAAATACATTAAAAATAACTTAAACTACAAAGTCAAGATAATAAGGACAGACAACGGTAAAGAAGAAGTTAACCGTTTAATCAAAGAAACCAAAGAAGAAAAAGGAATTGTTCATCAGTTATCCTGTAAATACTCGTCACAACAAAACAGTAGAATAGAAAGAGAAATGCGAACAATTGTTGAAGCAGCTAGAACAATGATCCATGCAAAAGGATTATCCAAGTCATTTTGGGCAGAAGCTGTAAACACAGCTGTACATTTATTTGTCGAAACCGTGTCTTCTTCTTGTTTCTTCTACTTCTATGTCACAACTTGCGAGAACGGGAAAGTGTTAAACTACAATTCAAACATTCCGCAGTACATAAAAGAAAACATATTCATCATGGAGCATAAAAAGATCGAAAACAGAACAAGCTCACTACAAAAGAAAGAAAAACACCTCAACGAACTGCGAACTAAATTCCTATTGAACAGCTACCCAAAACGAATACTAAATAACTGGGAAAGAAAGATGAACAACAAAAGGCTGGAAAATAAACAAAACAGAGATAAAAACACAGTAAGATACATACCCTTCCCCTACATTCGTGGCTTCTTTGAACAGGTAAACAAAAGTTTTGATAAAATAAATATAAAGCTAGCCTCAACCTATAACAACTTGCAAAAAAGAATCCGGGAGACTGAATCTGACATAAATAAACAACCAGACAAATACAATACTACCGAAGTCGTCTATAAAATACCTTGCACATGTGAACTGCCAAAAGTATACATTGGAGAAACAAAACGAAAATTGGAAACAAGATTAAAAGAACACATCGCAGACCTGAAGTATAGTAGAATCAACTCTGTTTTTTACGAACATTGCACGACCCACAACTGCAAAATAGATAAGAATGATGCAATAATAGTACACACAGAAAAAAATTGGTACAAAAGAAAATTCAAGGAAAGCTACGAAATTACTACAGACAAAAATAATATTAACAAGAACCTAAGCATTGACATTCATAAAAACTAGCTACAATTATTAAAATAGAATGTTTATACAGTCGCAGGCGAGGCTGTGTGCAGCACTCGGGGAAGTGACACGTTACAAGTTACGAGGCATGCGGGGGAGGCCGTCAAGTTGAGAGAAGAGGGGAGGGGAGTGGGAAGTACGGAAGGTGCCTGACTGATACTGTATACACAAGTCACAACCTATCGATGTAACAGACTGAAGAGGGGCGAAAGCCCGAAACGCATATCTGTATGAATTAAAAGTGGATGATGAAATTATTTGCCAAGTGTCGATAAATGCACCAAGTCGTGACATAGAAGTAGAAGAAACAGCTGTACATGTTATAAATCTAACCGGAAGAAGTAGTGTTGAAGGAAAAACACCATATGAAGTTTGGTACAAAAAAAGTATAGATATAAGTAAATTACATGTGTTTGGAGAAACTGCACATGTCCATGTACCTAAGGAAAAGCGTTTAAAATGGGACGCTAAGAGTCAAAAAGGTTCGTTTGTGGGCTATGGATATAACACCAAAGACTTTAGAATCTATTTTCCCAAAGATGATGATGTCCACATCGTTCGCGATGTGAAATTTAACGATGAAAAACAAACTGAAAATTCACAGTCAGATAAAATATCAACTGAAGAGAATAAAACTCTAGATCTGAACGAAGAAAACTCAATCCTTGTTAAAAGTGATACTGAAGAAGAAGAATCAGAATCAGCTTTAGAAGAAGCATGTGAAGAAACGGAACAAGAAAACAGAAAAAGTCAAACAGAAATCAAAATATACAACTTAAGAAGTAAGAATGAAATTAAACTGCCATCAAGGTACGATCATCATGTAATGATCGCAAACTGTGAACAGATATCTGCTTCAGAAGTGTTAACTGAACCAAAGTGGAAGAAGGCAATGAAAGAGGAAATAAATGCCCTAAACAAAAATAATACTTGGATCTTAGTAGACCTCCCTGAAGGTCAAAGACCTCTAACAACCAAATGGGTATTTTGCACTAAATACAGGAAAGATGGTTCAGTCGAGAAGTACAAAGCTCGTTTAGTAGTGCGCGGATTTCAACAAAAACAAGGAATCGATTACACAGAGACTTACTCCCCTGCAGCGCAATATGATTCAATCAGATCTCTACTGGCCTTTGCAGCAAAACAAAAACGACAGCTACTTCAATTCGATGTAAAAACCACCTTTCTGCATGGTGACCTAGAGGAGGTAATCTACATAACACAGCCTGAAGGATTTATTAAGTCTAGTCAAGCAAACAAAGTATACTTGCTAAAGAAAAGTCTATATGGCTTGAAACAAGCCCCCAGAAAATGGAATGAAAAATTTTCAGAATTCCTTAAATCTAAGAAGTTTATATCTACAGAATCAGATCTGTGTGTATTTGTGAGTATGAAATCTGAAATAATAGTTGTCCTATACGTTGATGATGGATTAGTGATTGGCGACAACCTTAAAACAATGAAAGAATTAATGGAAGAATTAAACAGAAAATTTGAGATAACATGGGGAAAAGTCAACTGATATCTTGAAATGGAAATAGAACAACACACCGACGGTTCTATTTTTATCTGAAAGTCCCAATACATTGAAAAACTACTTATTAGTTTGTTCAATATGGATGAATCAAACCCTACCTTTACCCCAATTGAACAATCAAAGGATGAAATAGCTGATACAAAGGAAGCTAAAGGTAAGCCATACAGAGAACTAATAGGTGGCCTCCTATATTTGTCCTCTATTAGTAGACCGGATATAACGTTTGCTAAGTAGACATGTAGAAAATCCAAAACACCATCACTGGACTCAGAGGTCGCGATCAGTCGCGAATCTGGTATGTAGTGTGCAACTTAAGCTCCGCTATCGATCGTCATTTTTGGTTATGTTTTGCTTCAATAACGTACATCTATATATCTTTGAATTTGGCATTTCAAGCTCTAAACGTAAGTGAAATATTTTACTGATCGGTGAAGTAGTTTTCGAGTTATTAGCGTTTATATATTTGGAACTTTGTTGGCCCCCATCGGGCCTCTGTGTGTGTCTTTCTCGAACTTTTGATGGCTTTGCTAAGTACAGCAAGTAGGTCACACACTGTCCAAATTTGGTATTAATTCAAGTAATAGCTGAGTAATATCGACTTATAAAAGTACTGTTAAACATAGGACTCAGTACCTCCACGTGGTCGACCCAGCCGTTCGGCGTGGTTAAGCCGTGTGGCGCACGGATTTCAGCGATTCTGGTGGCCCTTTTCCGGGATATTAAGGACGGTCTCTGAGACCTATCAGTGATTGCAGCGATGTTGTGGACTTACCATTCAACGATCACCAAGATCTTTCCTTTTCTCGGAGACGGGACTGCATTGCCTATGGTTAACAAAGCAGGACATACACTGTCTGCGGATTACTAAGTTACCTTACCATTACCACATTTTGGAGACGGCAACACTGCTGTTTTTCCCTCCTCTCAGTCTGGAGTCCTATTGACAAAGAGGCTGTACACTCTCGATACATATACACATCTGTTCTTGTTTTGTACACGTTTTCTTACTGTTATGTGTCCATGCCTCTCATCTGTTAACATGCCCTCTGAGGAATCTGGTGTACTATCTGTATTTCTCGATAAGGCATATAGAATTGCAGACGAAGCTAAGGGGTACTTTGCAGAAAACTTCAATGGTCGTTTCAACAGAAGAGGACATGCCAAGTACCTGTCTGACCAGATCCAAAAAATTATTGACCTGGCTAAATCCACCATTTTGGAAAACTGCCCACTCGAGAGGGACACTGCCTCACCTTCCAGTGAAACTGCTTCTGTGTGTGTGTCTTCAACTCACGCTGTAAACACCCCATCCTCTCAACATGCTGACCCACGGGAGGGACACGAACTGTGTGCTCATCCTTCCCCAACAACTCCAGTGGGAAAAAAAAAATCGATCACCAAGTGCAGTGAAATTCTTATCTCTGGAATGACACCATCGATACCCATGCTTCTGCCACCAAAAACATTCTGCCCACCTGACTACCACTCTGAGTTAAACCAAAAACTGGAAGAAATCATTGCCAAAATAGACGATGTCAGCAAAAGCAATAATTGCATCAACAATGATGTAAACTCCATAGCAAACCAGCTGATCCATGACTCCTCTCAGTTGCAACTCAATGAGATTTCTGTGAAACTTGACCAACTCATTGATGACAGTCCTATCAAAGACATCCTTGAAACACAAAAAAGTATCAAAGAAAAGATGGAGAATGGTTGTGCTGTTAACACTCCCACTGGCAGCATTGCGCCATCTTACAGCTCCGTCCTTCAATCTGGGAAATTGTTACACTCTACAAATCACGTTAAGACCCCTTTACTTTCCAACGAGGTTCTTCTGGTCTACCACAACAGTGAGGAGAAAAGCTGTAACAACTTAAGGAAAATCATATACAGCAAAGTTAAACCATCCAATCTAAACATTGGAATTGAACGCATCCGGAACATAGGGGGAAGTGGCCTCACAATCGAACTGAAAAAGAAAGAGGATGTCAACACTCAAATCCTACATTAGAGACAACATTACAGAGGTTACAGTCAGGATCCCAGGGAAACATCTCCCACACATCATCATTTACTCTGTGCCTGCACAGATTACCCGCGATGAACTTCTGGCGCTCATCCTAAACCAAAACGACGCTATCAAAGAATTCTACACTGAGAAGAAACTCAGAGTGGTCTTCACCATCAAATTTGCTACAATAAGGAAGACTGGTGACTTTCAGAATTGGGCAGTTGAGGTGACACCATTCCTACGGAAACAACTTCTTATGCTAGGAAAATTAAACCTGGAGTGGTCAAGATGCAGGGTTGCGGACTTCTGTCCCGTCCTCCAATGTTACCGCTGTTGTCGGTATGGTCATACCACCAAAACCTGCACCCAGACTACTGCTACTTGTAGCCATTGTACTGGTGAGCATTCCTTCAGAGAATGTAAACATAAAGATCAAAAACCGACTTGCATCAACTGCAAACAAGAAAAAGCAGGCAATACAGAACACAATGCTCGGGATGGTTCCTGTCACATTTATCAAAGAATTAAGACCAATCTAATAAAACAAACAGACTATGGAACAACAAGTCAGTAACAACTTTAGTTTCCTGCAGTTTAATGCCGGAAGAAGTATTGCTGCAACTTCCATTCTCACCACTCTTATTTCAAAATATGATTTTGTTCTCTGTGAGGAGCCATATTGTGTTAACACCAGACCAGCATGCCTTCCTACCTACTGTACTCCACTCAGTGGAACCACTGATTAGCCCTGGGCTGTCTCAATTGCTGTCAATAACCATCTCTCTCCCCTTCATAGTACTCTAAGCACCCAATATATTTGCTGTTCTGAACTGATCATCGAAGACCAAAGATATATTGTCATCAACTATTACTGCCCCAAAGATTTGGACATTCAGACCATTCTCGATAATATCCAGAACATTATGAACACTTTCAAGAATGCTTACTTCATTGTGGCAGGTGACACCAACGCTCACTTCCCTACTTGGGGGGGTGATCGCTTGGACAACCGTGGACGCCTCCTCGAGGAATTCCTTGCTCGAAATAGCCTGATTGTGATTAATGACCCTCTCTCCCCACCCACCTTTATTTCAAGACAAGGTAGAAGCTGGATCGATGTCACTGCGTGCTCTGCGGACTGTTTTCCCCCTCATTAGTGAATGGAAAATTTTGAACAACTCCATTGATGATCACGCCTTCATCTCTTTCAGGATCGGTGTCACCTCCTACAACCTACATCCTCGCCCCAGATACAGTTTGAAACATGCCAACTTGACCGATCTACATCTGTTCCTCATAAATAATCTTGTTGACTGTGAGCATGACGATTACAACGAGGCATGTGGACGAATCGACTACAACATAAACATCATTAACGTGGCCTGCAGGAATCACATACCACAATACATCAATAGATGCAAACCTGTCCCCTGGTGGACCTCTGAGCTGACTAGACTCAGGAAAGAAA